GGTGGATGGATGGGTGGATGGGTGGGTGGGTGGGTGGGTGGATGGATGGATGAGTGGGTAGATGGGTGGGTGGATGGGTGGGTGGGTGGATGGATGGATGGATGGGTGGATGGGTGGGGTGGGTGGATGGGTGGGTGGATAGATGGATGGGTGGGTGGATGGATGGATGGGTGGATGGGTGGGTGGGTGGATGGATGGATGGGTGGGTGGGTGGGTGGATGGATAGATTGATGGATGGGTGGATGGGTGGGTGGATGGATGGGTGGGTGGATGGATGGATGGATAGGTGGGTGGGTGGGTGGGTGGGTCGATAGATAGATAAATGGAGTAAATGGTTAAAAGGGGGAGAAAACTGTCCAGGATAGTCTGTAAAGATCAGGAAAGATCAGCGGCTGCCACGCTCGGGAGGAGAGGGAGTGAGAGTGTCTGCTGTTAGACGTGGAGTTTCTTTTCAGGCTGAGAACTTTCTGGAATTAGGTAGTGGTGACAGTGCCATAACCTTGTGACTGTACTGGAAACGCCTGAGCTTAACCGGGTGAATTTGCCACCGGAATTACGTCTCAGTCACGGAACAGGCGGCGCGCACAGCCCTGCTGGACTCGCTGCTGGGTCCCAGGGGTCCGATGGCAGGCTGCGGCTCTGGCACCGTCTCCGGCGGTTTTGAGCCTGGGTCTTGGAGGGGAGGAGGGAGGAGGAGGAGTGTAAGAATGAAGGGGGGTGATGGCACTGGCACGGGATTGTCAGGGTGGAGGGGCTGCAGTGAGCACCCGGCTGGGCTGGGGTCACCTCCCACCCAGGTGCCGGGGCGAGGGTTGCGGCTCAGGAAGGTGAGGGGGGCTGGGCGTCACACGGGAAGGTGGGGGGCTCCAGGGAGGCGGGAGGTAGGGAGAATTGGGAGGCCCTTGAGAGGTGTTTGTTGTGTTGGAAACGGCAGAGCAGTGTGGCCGCCCCGGAGCCGCGTGTGGCCGCCCCGGAGCCGCGTGCGGCCGGGTGTCCGAGCGGGGAAGAGGGGAGGTGCCGGCAGCCGGGGGAAGGGCAGCTTCCTCTCTGTTGTTTTCTGTGTGCAGTTCATTTTTACGGTGCTTTATCTTTACATCTACAAGCGTACTTCTAAAGGTTCACGGGGAAATGGAAAAAGACAAGTTTTGTGCAACAGAATCTTAAAAGCCATGTGTAGTTTTCCCCATAATATGCGTTTTCCATGAACTTTTTTTTCTTTTTTTGGACAAGCAGAGTTAGTGAGAGAGAGAGAAAGGTCTTCCTTCTGTTGGTTCACTCCCCAAATGGCTGCTACGGCCGGCGCCGCGCCGATCTGAAGCCAAGAGCCAGGTGCTTCCTCCTGGTCTCCCATGCAGGTGCAGGGCCCAAGCACTTGGGCCATCCTCCACTGCACTCCGGGCCACAGCAGAGAGCTGGACTGGAAGAGGAGCAACCGGGACAGAACCCGGAGCCCCAACCGGGACTAGAACCCGGGGTGCCAGCGCCACAGGTGGAGGACTAGCCAAGTGAGCCACGGCACCGGCCTCCATGAACTTTTTTTAAAAAGATTTTATTTATTTATTTGAGTTGTAGAGTTACAGACAGAGAGAGGAAGAGAGAGAGGTCTTCCATCCACTGGTTCACTCCTCAGATGGCCACAATGGCCGGAGCTGTGCTGATCTGAAATCAGGAGCCAGGAGCTTCTTCTGGGTCTCCCACGTGGGTGCAAGGGCCCAAGGACTTGGGCCATCTTCTACTGCTGTCCCAGGCCACAGCAGAGAGCTGGATTGGAAGAGAAGCAGCCAGGACTTGAACCCACACCCATATGGGATGCCGGCACTGCAGGCGGAAGATTAACCTACCGCGCCACAGTGCCAGCCCTTCCATAAACTTTTTGAAGACCCCCCTTATGCAGGATTTCAAAAGTTTTTGCACCAAAATAAACTGATGTTTTAATTCCATTCTCCAAGAACTTCTGGAATCCGTCAGCCCGAGTTCCTGCCGCCCGTGTGGTGGAGGCACTGCCGACACCAGCCTGTGAGGGCTTGAAGGGCTGCACGGGGCTCACTGGGGCGCGGCGGTGGACACACTGCGCACCCAGTCAGCGTCCCCTCTCCCCGGCTGAGGACCGGGGAGGGGAGCCCAGCTAACCTGCAGGCACCAGGTATTTCTCCTTGCTGTTGGGTTCTCAGAACACAGGGGGCAGCACTGAACCATTTTTGGATGAAACACTTGGAAGTGATTTTGTACAGTTGATTTTGGGTTCTCACAGACTTGTAGTTTCTCCCACCCAGCTGGGTTGCTGACCCTGGGCAACGGGGAAGGCAGGTCCGAGTGGGGGGTGTTTGGGAGCAGGCCCTGTCCAGGTGGCTCCGGCTGCAGGCTCTCCCAGGCAGGAACCAGATGTGGTCACAGGAGGTGGGAGAGAGAGAGGCGGCAGCCCGAGTGCCACGGTTAGAAGGCGGCACTCGCCCAAATCAGCGTAGCTAAGGGGGGGGGGGTGCAGAGCAGGGGTCGTGAACTCGGCTTGGGGAGCCGGGCTGGCTGCTGCCTACTGCTGGGAACAGCCGTGCGGCTCTGCCCGGGTCGGGGTCTGCGCCCAGACCTGCGGCACCAGGGCCACGCCGCTCAGAGCAGGTGCTCGGGCTCATCCTCAGCAGGGGAAGGCTCGTCTCCAGGTGACCCTCCCAACGGCTGAAAATGAGGGTCTCGCCGCTCCTGAGCCGCCGGGCCATCGCTGGGTGCTGCCCCGCCGGCTGTGAAACCGCTGGGGCTGAGCGCGGTGGCAGGAAGGGCAGGGTGGGGCCTGGCTGCCCAGGACGGCCCAGCAAGGGTTCCTGATTCTCGCTCCGCCCTGCTTCCCGGAGCCTGGACGCCCCCGCCAGGCGTCCTGGGAGGGAGACCCGTCCCCGTCTCCGTGTCTTGGAAGGGGAACTTTCTCACCTCGGCCGCTCACCCCTGGAGGGCCCATCCAGGACAGATAATGATACCTGAGGGAGAGCTACGGCTCAGGGCCTGGGCAGCTACTGTAGTCACGCGGTCCCGGCTGCCGCAGGGTCAGCGGCGAGACACCCGCGGCCTCCGCCCAATCAGAGCCCTTCTCCCGGGACTCACGGGGAAGCCGGGGCGGAGCGTGGTGTCTGCAGGTGGCAGGTGCAGAGCACACGGGGCCTGGTCTGGCCTCCGGGCGAGGTCTGAATAAGGCGTGGGTCGTCCTTTATCTCCGAGGCTCCGCAGAGGACAGAGGCGGAGAGGAGGGGTGGCGTCCGGGTGGGTGTTGCCTGCTGAGGACTGAAGCGGCCGTAACCTGATCTGTGTGATACTGTGAAAGCCAAGTGCAGCATAGGACGCACGGAAGGACTCGTGCCCGACCTAAGGGCGGAGACAGCACAGCAAGCTTACTGATCTTCCCGGAGAGACGGTCGTTCCCGGATGACGCGGAGGTGTGCTTGTTATCACTGTGCCGTGTTTGCAAGGCGTTCACGGCATTGTCCAGGATTTCATGAAGTTCTCGATGCCTTAGAGATGCTTGTAGGGCCGGCGCTGTGGCGTAGCGGGTTAATCCTCCACCTGCAGTGCCGGCATCCCATGTGAGTACCAGTTCGAGTCCCAGGTGCTCCACTTCCGATCCAGCTCTCTGCTGTGGCCTGGGAAAGCAGTAGAAGATGGCCCCAGTCCTTGGGCCCCCGCACCCACTTAGGAGACCTGGAAGAAGCTCCTGGCTCCTGGCTTTAGGTTGGCCCAGCTCCAGCTGTTGCAGCCATCTGGGGAGTGAACCAGTGGATGGAAGGCTTCTCTGTCTGTCTCTCCCTCTGTCACTCTACCTCTCAAATAAATAAGTAAATAAATAAATCAAAGAAAGAAAAGAAAGAAGGAAGGAAGGAAGGAAGGAAGGAAGGAAGGAAGGAAGGAAGGAAGGAATCCTCATGGGTTAGATCTGCCATTTGCAGGGCCCTGAGGTGGTGCTGTCTTACCGCTGCTACTGCTCCTAGAGGTTCAGGTTTCTTCTATTTTTTTTTTTTTAAGATTTGTGTATTTATTTGAGAGGCAGAATTACAGACAGAGAGAGGGAGAGACAGAGAGAGCGAGAGAGAGAGGTCTTCTATCCGCTGTTCACTCCCTAGTTGGTTGCAATGGGCAGAGCTGGGCGGATCCGAAGCCAAGAGCTAGGAGCTTCCTCCAGGTCTCCCACGTGGGTGCAGGGGCCCAAGGACTTGGGCCATCTTCTGCTGCTTTCCCAGGCCACAGCAGAGAGCTGGATCAGAAGTGGAGCAGCTGAGACTCGAACCGGTGCCCAATGGGATGGCAGCTCTGCAGGCAGAGGTTTAGCCTACTATGCCCCAGCGCCAGCCCCATAGACTGTGCATTTTTGGGAGCGGGGGTAAGGACAGTGTTTCATGCGGCCTCCGCTGGGCTCATGAGCTGCGGCAGGTGTTTGATAAAGGGAAGGTCAGGGAGTGACTGGCAGTGCTGGAGACGCCAGTGACTGTGTCTGGCTGTCCTGCGTCACTGCCCTGGATGCCTGGCTGTGCAGGGACCACGGAAAATCCTGGTGTAAACAGAGGGATCCTTTCACAATTATACCCTCTCCTTAGTTCATCTCTCTATAAAATTGAGTTTGCATGCGTGTGCTGGGATCTTGGAGGAGGCCGGTGAGAGCGAGTGCGCGCTGCAGCCAGCGCAGGTGGGGAGGAGCGGTAGAATACCATCGCAGTGAGACGTCCTGCCTGCTGCCGGCCAGGCTGCCAGCGTGGAATGACAGGCCCCGTCCCTGAACGTGAGCCGCGTTGGGTTCAGCAGCCCAGTGTCCACGAGCCCACTCAAATCTTAGTGTCCCCTCGAGAAAGCCAGCAGGGGAGAAGCTGTCTGCACGGCTGTCGAAGCAGAAAGCAGCCTGAAGCCACCCGGTTCATCCAGCGCTGTTGGCGGGGACCCTGGGAGGTGCACGCAGCTCGCGGCGTGTGGTTGCTAACAAGAACCGGAGGCGAGAGCTAACAGAGGGGCCTTGCTCTCTCTGGCAGCGTCTCGTCACTGCGCTTGGCCTACAAGGACCTTGAGATTCAAATGAAGAAAGAGGAGAAGATGAACTTGAGCGGGAAAAAGAGAGCCGAATCGGAGAGACTGGGCATGGGCTTTGGAACCTGCAGAAGGTACGTGCGCTCTGCCTCCATGTGTGTGTGGGGGGGGGAGGCCAGCGCGCTGCCTGTGCATGCCCTGCCCGGGGGCCGCGTGGATTGCAGCTGTAGGTGTTGACCTGCCGTGGCTTCCCTTCCTCGACTGTTTTTTGCCTTAGTGTTCAGTTTAGTGTGAAAAAGTCCACCCTTGGTTCTTAGGAAACGGGAAGAGACCTGGCTTGTTGTTACACGCACACCAGAATGGATGCCACAGCTGTAACCAGTGTGCAGAGCACTTCTACGTTCACGAAAAATGGAATTGAAAAATGTTCATTTTAGTACAAAAAAATCCTGTGAGACCCATGCACAGTGGTTTTAATCTCACGCATTTCCACAGACCTTCTGTGTGTGCATGCATTTCCAAGCATTGCTGCACTGGGGCCCGTGCTGTGGACGGTGGGTGGACCGCCGCCCTGGGATGCCGGCATCCCTGCCGGGGTGCCCGTTTGAGACCCGGCTGCTCCACTTCTAGTGCAGCTCCCTGCTAGCGCTCCCGGGAAGGCGGCGGAGGCTGGCCCAAGCGCTTGGGCCCTGCACCCCCAGGAGACCCAGATGGAGCGCCTGGCTCCCGGCCTCGGCCTCACCCAGCCCCAGTTGTGGCAGCCATCTGGGAAGTGAACCAGCAGATGGGAGATTGCTTTGTCTGTCTGTCTGTCTCTTTCTCTCTATCATTGTACCTTTCAAATAAATAAGTCCTTAAGAATATCTTTGAATTCTAGCCTCCATGACGTCTTGGAAGTCCTTTGTAGGTAACTGCTTTGTGGCATCACAGTCACTGCAGAGTTAACAGTTTGCAAAGCTTATGCCAAAAATAAGCTGATGCGTGTGGTCCTCTCCCACCGGGGATTCGCTTTGCTGGGTTACACACTGACGCATCCGTCCCTTGCTGCTGGCGCAGACGCTGTCTCTGTTCTCTGCAGTGGCGTTTCACATTCAGTGACCACGGACATGCAGACCATAGAGCAGGAGTCGCCAGTCCTGGCAAAGCCACGGAGAAAGTACACCGACGACAGCGACGACTCCTACTTCACTTCCGGCTCAAGGTAACCCGTGAGACGCCGGTGCCCACACGCGGTTCTGGAACGGAGCGACCTGGGTGGGTCCGTTCGCTGACCGGCACCCGCAGCAGATGGGCTGGCTCCAGGGCCACCTTCAGCATCAAGGTCGGGGGAGACTGGACGTGAGCGCTTGCTGACCTGACGAGGAGGGGTGACAGCACCAGCCCTGGGAGCTGGGGTCAGAGGGAGGAGAGATGCGCTTATCTGTAGGGTGAACTCGGGCGCTGCGCAAAGCCCCAGGGTCCGCATCTTCTGTGACCTCTCGACACGCGGGAGCCGGGGGCTGCCTCTCCCACGGGCCTCCTCCCTGGTGCTCCAGGCAAGCCTGGGTGACAGTGTCCTCTACCACCTTGGCTGAAGACCGGGGCCCTGGCCCCCGCCCCCCCCCCTCCCCCAGCTTCCTGAACTCTGCCTTGAGCATGCCGCTGTGGGGCTGGGCTGTCCCTCCACCTGAGATGTCGTCTGCTGACACGGCGCCGCGCCGTCTGTTTTTATTAGGGGTCCAGTGGACCCCGCCCATCGAACTCTGTCCCGCCCGCTGCCGTTGGTCAAAGGTTTCCCTATAAACGCACCAGACCAAGGCTGGCCCGAGCCCTGCCATCTGAGCAGTAGACTGACCCTGAGGGTCAGCGTCTCCCCTGAGAGCTCGCAAACCAGGTCAAGTTCACCTCAAGGTCGAGACCGAGAGCGTCTCAGGGTGACCTGCAGCTCTGTGCCCGGCTCCAGGAGGGGCTAGACGGCATCGTGGCATCGCTTCCATTCGGCGTGGTCAGCTGAGGGGGGTGACCCCGGGACGCCCCACGGGTGGGGTCAGCGCCCCTGGCCGGGCAGCTTCACTTCTCAGAGCTGCAGGCCCGCCTTACGCTGGGGTCCTAGATGGTCCTCAGGTCTCCAGGGCTTAGCCCAGTGACCACTCGTCTCTGTCCACACGACAGCGGGGCCGGCGGGGACTGTCCCATCCTGTCTTCCGTGCTGCCCACGCTGGTGGACGGCTCCCCTGCTCCGACTGCAGGCCTTGGAAGCGTGGCAGCTGTGTCCGGGGGTCCCTCGGGGGGCGGGGAGGTGCGGGCAGGGCCTCTGAACCCCGCGTGCCCGCGCTCACACAGGTACTTGGACGAGCCGCCGGAGCTGAGGGGTAGCTCTTTCTCCAGCTGGGACGACAGCTCCGAATTCCCCCTGGAAAAAGGAGAGCAGCAGAGACGTGGACACGGTGCTCAAGGCCAGCGGCTACGCAGACAGGTACGGCGCCCGGCTGTGCCACGCGTGCCGGCCTCGGCGCGGCAGGCAGCGATGTTGCGCCGCCGTCCTCGAGAGCATTCTTGTCATCTTAAACACGGGGCTCTGCCACTGGACGAGTGTGACCTCTCCCCGAGGGGGCCCCGGGGCGTGGGGTGGCCCGTCTCCGAGGTTCCACTGTCCCCCCATTCGAAGGCGCTCCCTAGACAGTGAAATCCTCCTTTTGGAGGTCACAGTTGCGCAGGTTTTGACAAGATCTGCAGTCACGTGGCTGCCACCAACTCCGAGACGCAGAAGGGTCGGCTACCCCCAGCCCCTCCCCCAACCCCTTCCCAGAATGCCAGGAAAGTGGAGCCGGGCTTTCCCGGCCTCTGGCCGCCGCTTTCACAGAGATTCTGTGAAGATGGCCTGTGGGCTCCCTCCCTCTGCTGCTGCGGGTGTGTGTGTGTGTGTGTGTGTGCGTGCGGGGGTGTGTGTGTGCACCCCTGCCACAGGCCTGTGTGTGTGTGTGTGTCCCACCCCTGCCGCAGGCCTGTGTGTGTATGTGTGTGTGTGCGGGTGTGTGTACGTGTGTGTGGTGTGTGTGCAGGGGTGTGTGTGTGTCCCACCCCTGCCGCAGGCCTGTGTGAGTGTGCATCTGCACCCCTGCCGCAGGCGTGTGTGTGTGTGTGTGTGCGCGTGTGTGTGTGTGTCCGCACCCCTGCCGCAGGCCTGTGTGTGTGTATGTGTGTGTGTGCGGGTGTGTGTATGTGTGTGTATGTGTGCGTCCGTACCCCCGCCGCAGGCCTGTGTGTGTGTATGTGCGCGGGTGTGTGTGTGTGCACCCCCGCCACAGGCCTGTGTGTGTGTGTCCCACCCCTGCTGCAGGCCTGTGTGTGTATGTGTGTGTGTGCGTGTGTGTGTGTGTGTCCGTACCCCCGCCACAGGCCTCTGTGTGTGTGTGTGTCTGCACCCCTGCCGCAGGCCTGTGTGTGTGTATGTGTGTGTGTGTGTGTGTCCGTACCCCTGCCGCAGGCGTGTGTGTGTGTGTGTGTGTGTCCGTCCGTCCGTCCCACCCCTGCCGCAGGCCTGTATGAGTGTGTGTGTCCCACCCCTGCCGCAGGCCTGTATGAGTGTGTGTGTCCCACCCCTGCCGTAGGCCTGTGTGTGTGTGTATGTGTGTGTGCAGGTGTGTGTGTGTGTCCGCACCCCCACCGCAGGCGTGTGTGTGTGTGTGTGTGTGTGTGCACCCCTGCCGGGGGACCCTGTGATGGCCTGGCGGCTCCTCCTCCTTGTTTTACGTTTTACACCGCCTGTGAAGCAAGCATCCTATATGGGTGCCGGTTCAGCTCCCAGCTGCTCACACTTCCGATCCAGCTCCCTGCTAATGGCCTGGGAGAGCTGTGGAGGGTGGCCCAGGTGCTTGGGCCCCTGCACCCATGTGGGAGACTCGAATGAAGCTTCGGCTCCTGGCTTCAGCCTGGCCCAGCCCTGGCTGGTGCAGGTATCTGGGGAGTGAACCAGCAGGTACAAGATTTCTCTGTCTGCCTGTGGGTGTGTGTCTGTCTCTTCTTTAAGATTTACCTATTTATTTTGAGAGTCAGTTACAGAGAGAGGAAGAGACGGAGATCTTCCTGTCTGCTGGTTCACTCCCCAGATGGCCCCAGCAGCCAGCGCTGGGCCAGGCTGAAGCCAGGAGCCAGGAGCTCCATCTGGCTCCCATGTGAGTGGCAGGGGCCAAGCACTTGGGCCATCTTCTGCTGCTTTTCCTAGGCCATTAGTAGGGAGCTGGATTGGAAGTAGAACAGCCAGGACTCGAACTGGTGCCTCTATGGGATGCCAGTTTCATGGGTGGTACCTTTACCTGCTACGCCACGATGCTGGCTGGCCTTTGCTCTCTCCCTGTCCGTGTGTCTCGCTGTCTCTCTCAGCATTTCAAGTAAAATGAAAATAAATAAATAAATACCAATAAAATAAGGTGGGGGTGGGTGGGGGTTTGGCCTGGCAGCTAAGATCGCTTCCCGCGTGGGAGGGCCTGGGCTGCTCACCCCTGCTCCCGCCTCTGGCCCTGCTCCTGCGCACCCTGGGAGGCAGCAGGGATGGCTGAGACCTGGGTGGGGTCACGTGCTCCCAGCTCTGCCTCCCGGCCCAGGGACATCGCAGGCAGGGGGGAGTGGGTGGGAATGGGTGGGAGTGTGTGTGCTCTCTCCCTCTGTCTCTCTCCGTCTCTGTCTCTCTCAAATAAACTTGTGTAAGGACGTAGAGCAGGTGTGTGACGCGTGTGCGCTGAACGAGACACACGGGTGCCTCCCCTCCGGGTAATCCCGCCTCTGGCCGTCTTCAACCGTAGCCCCGCCGCTCGCCGCAAGCCAGACTGTGAGCCCCTGGACCACACGGACGAGGCCCAGAGGAAGTTCGGCAACGTCAAGGCCATTTCATCAGACATGTACTTTGGGAGACAAGCCCAGGCTGATGTAAGGGGCCCCGGAGGCGGGGGGGGGGGGGGGGGGGGGGGGGGGGGGGGCAGGCGCCGAGGGAGGGGGAGGGGCTCAGCGGCTGCCGCTTTGCGTCGGTCAGTCCTAACTGAGCTAAGTGAAATCGTAGATGTGTTTGTGGAGGGTAAGTGTGTTTATTTGGGGGCTGCTACCTCTTTTGGGGGGCCTGGCCGGGGTGAGATGCGGGGGGACAGCTGCAGGGGTACCCTCCTGCCCCAGTGCTCGCGGGCCCAGCTCCGGAGGGCCAGGAGCGGCTGCCTCTCCGCCGCACCGACAGCTCTGTCCACCCTTACGAGGGCAGAGCTGCCTCTCGGCGCTCGCTGACCCCCGGACCCCGCCTTGTTCTAAAGCCGCTGACGCCGCGGGTCACTGGGACAGCAGGGTGGCGGCCGCGGCGCTGGCCCGGGCCGGCTCAGCCTCACTGCGCACCCCGTCCCCCCAGTACGAGACCAGGGCGCGGCTGGAGAGGCTCTCGGCCAGCTCGGCCATCAGCTCGGCGGACCTGTTCGAAGAGCAGAGGAAGCGGCCGGCAGGTGAGGCGGCGGGGGCGGGGCTCCCTGCCGGGAGTGTAGCGGCCGCGGTCTGATGCCCGCGTCCGCTGGGAGTCAGGGAGAGCGCAGCTGCCGTGCGTGCCGCCATGGGGTGAGTGGGCGGCCAGCGGCTCCCTCACAAGGCTGCGGGGGGCGTGAGGTAGCACAGGTCCAGTGCCGCCTGGTCCGGGTCAGGCCGCGGCGGGGCCTTGTGGGCACCAAGGGTGGGCAGAGCGACGGAGGCAGGGACTTCGCCAGCATCTGTCTGGGGGCAGAGGGAGAGGAGCGCCCACCTCCCTGCCCTTCCTGAGGCCTAGACCCCAGGAGCGAGGCACCTGGTGTCCCAGGGCTGGGGGGCCTCAGCGCAGACCCCTCGGGGACCGTCCAGAGCCGCCTTGGCTCTGTGTGCACCTGTGCGTCCCCACGCTGGCCTGGGCTGCTCTCCGCCAGGCCCTGTGATGGACACTGCAGGGGCCACTGCCTCGGCGGTCATTCTAGGAGAGCCGACGGGAGGGGGCGCTCAGGAGGCGGCGTTCGGGGCCTGGCACCCTCGGCAGCCCTGGAGGAGCCGGCTTGGTCCCCGGGAGGCCCTGCTAAGCAGCCCGGCAGCCGGGGGCCTTTCAGCCAGACAGCAGCCAGCTTGTGAGTGCAGAGAGGAACGGCACCACCGGGTGGTCTCATCCCGCCACACCAGGGTCTGGGGAGGTTGGGGCGCCCGTGCGGCCCTGGGGTGCAGGGGGCACTGGCAGCTGGCTGCTGCGGCGCGCCGGAGCCCTCTGGCCCGGCGGCACCTGCTGGGGCAGGCTGTGTGCTGCAGAGGTGGCCAGGGCCCGGGTCAGAGTGGCCAGGACTCACACCTCGGCGGGCGGGGGGCTGCCCTGGTCTCAGCAGAGGGGGCGTCGCCCGAGGGCACTTCCTGGCACTGACTCCTCGGGTGCGGGTGTGGGCCCCGGGCCATGCTGGCAGCTCCCAGCCCCCAGGTCCTGGCCCTTTGTCAGGGCCTGGGACCACCGCTGGTGAGAGGGCCTGGCACCTAGGGAGGGTTCCTCCCCTCACCCACTGCAAACTGAGATGGAGACCAGGGCCGCCGCTCCTGCATCTGCCAGGGCTCACCCCTCCCGGGAAACGCCCTGGAGGAAGGAGTTTGCGGAGCAGGCCTTCCTGGGGAGGGGCCGCTGAGTGAGCCGCACGTGTCAGTGCCCCGGCCGGCCCGGTGGGCGGCCCTGCAGGGGGCGCCACCCGGGAGAGCCCCCTCCCCGCGCCTGTCAGGGGTCCCTGCCACCCCAGTAGCCCCGGAACAGCAGGGGCTTCTCTCCTTTATGTGTCTGTGAGCTCGGGGTGGGGGGTTGGATGGGTCAGGCATGAGTCACCTGTACACCCCGTGGAGGGAGGGGGCAGGGGCTGTCCTGAAACCAGTGGCAGCCCACTTCTGCTCACTGAGTGCTTGCCTCCCAGCCTTGGTAAGTCCGAGCCCAGAGAGGGTGAGCTACTTCCCCAGAGGCGCATAGCTGGCAGTGCGGTGCGGGGACTTGAACCCGTGGAGGTGTTCAGCCGCTGTCCTAGACCTTGTGGCCACAGCTGCTGCCCGGGCGGGAGTGGGGGGGACACTGTGAGTGCCCGGCAGGCTGTGCTGAGCCAGCGCCGCTCCTGTGTGTGCAGGGAGCTACAACCTGTCCAGCGTGCTGCCCAGCGCCCCCGATATGGCGCAGTTCAAGCAGGGCGTGAGGTCCGTGGCTGGGAGGCTGTCCGTCTTCGCCAACGGGGTCGTGACCTCCATTCAGGTCAGTGGGCAGGGCTGGAGCCCGGCGGGGGTGGAGGGGCAACCCCGCTGAGCCTCCGGGGGGGGGGGGTGCCCAGACACTGCCCCCCTGCCAGCACCAGCCCCCAGGCTCCAGACCGCGGCAGTGCGGGGGAGGGGGCGGCCAGCGGGCTCCTGGCCGCGGGGGCGTGCGTGACGGCCCTGCTTCTCTCCAGGACCGCTACGGCTCCTAGTGCCGACCGGACGAGGCCCCTCCGAGGAAGCAGCGCCGCGAGGACGCCCCGGGGGCTCCGCGGCCGTGCTGCTGCCGTCCCGCCGGGCAGACGCTGGGCTCTGATTCTTCCTGATTCTTTGGAGAAATTTCTGTTGTTGATGTAGTAGAAGCTTTGTTCTAATTCTGTTCCGTGTCCCTTCCTGCACACGCCCAAGCCGGCCCCTGCGATTCCGTAGCTGGGGCCTGGAGGCGCCGGCTCCCCCTCCCGCCGAGGGGCCCCAGAACCAGGGCCGGGCCGAGGCGAGCGGGACTCGGCACACACATCTTGTAAGGGGGCCGAGAATAAAACCCAAGCCCGAAACCGCTGGTGTCCACTTTGACAGATGTGCGTCGCTGTCAGAGCCGCCCGCCCCTCTGCAGATGGTCTGCGTGGTACGGTCTGAAATTCAAGGACAGGTTCAGGAGCGCTTTCAGCCAACCTAAGGCGCTGTGTCGCCACGGGAATGATCCCTCCGGACAGGGTGTCGCGTGTGAGTCCGTGAGAAGCCTAAGACGAGACTTCGCTCGCAGACGGGGAGGGCGCGGGGTGGGGAGCAGCCACAGGAGCCCCGCCACCGCACCTGGCTGGTTTTGTGACTATTGACCTTGAGCTTGGTTTCCAAGAAGTCCGAGAGTGAGTAAGTCAGGGAAGAGACAGCGCCACCGCATGCTGCCCCGCGGCGAGGCGTGTGAAGCTGGGCTGAACCAGCTAAGTTGTGCCTCTTTCTTAAAGCTCGCATTGTAGACTCCCGCTGCACAATAAACCGCGCAGGCCGCGCACCTGCTTGGTCTCATGCACGCTTTTGGAAGAATTCATTGCAAACCAGGGCTCCGCCTGACGGGACGGTGTCTGCGGCCGGGGTCACCCGAGGCCCCCTGAAGTATGCCAGCGCCGTGCACCGCAGGGCGGGCGGGGCTGGACCCTCTTCTTCCCCAAGGCCTGGGGTGGTCTCGGCAGTGGGTGGCCCCTCGCTGCCCGCTCACCCCTGCTCTTTCCCCGCGTGGGCGCCAGGCCTGTGGGCTGTATGACCTCCTCCAAAGCCTCACCCCAGGTCACAGGGGGTCAGGGGAAGGAGGGCTCCTAACAGTGCCCCAGGAGCCACGCTGAGCCCCTGGGGTCCCACTGCGTCCCAGTCCTCTCGGGGCAGGGCCTCGCAGGCAGCCTGGGCGGCCAGGTCCCCCGGCCTTGCTGTTGGTCTCCTGTAGCCATTTCCCGCGGGCTGTGGGTGACACGGATCCCCGAGGCCAGGCTGGGCCCAGGATGTCCCTGGCCCTGCCAGGAAGAGGGGCTAGGAGAGCAAGGGCGGCTTTTGTCCTCTTTCAGGAGGTGAAGGAGGGAGCTCTGAGCCCGCAGAGGCCAAGGCGTCCGGCCCCAGGGAAGCTGGGTCCCTACACCGTGGGGTTCAGAGAAGCCCCCTCTCCAGGCCCCTTCCCAGCAGGACCCCAGCCCGGGCACCAGCCCTTGTCCCCGCCCCGGCCTGGCTCAGACACGCCCACCTGCCCCCACCCCCCGCCCCGCCCCAGGTGCCACCCAGATGGCCTGTCAGAGCCTGGCCCCACACCCGGGCTCTGTCTCCAAGTAGGCCCCTCCCCTCCCCAGGCAGCCCCACCCTTGCTCACTGGTCTGGGGATTCCCCGTGTGCCCCCCCCCGCACTGCTGCTCTGACCCCCCCAACCCTGCTCCGGTCCCTTCTGCTGCCACCCACACGCTCTGGGAGTTGGATGATTGTCCCCCTCATCCCAAGGAGGTGGCTGTCAGTACGCAGTGGTCACAAATGTCACCCGCGTCACCCACGTAGCGTGCCTGGCACACAGGAGGTTCTCAGGAAAAAAAATAAGTAATTTGTCTGAGAGGCAGAGAAAGACTGAGGGCTCCTAGCCACTGCTTCACTTCCCGAGTGCTCAGACCGGCTGGGGCTGGCCCGAGGCTAAGCCAGGAGCCCAGGGCTCCATCTGGGTCTTGCACGATGCGGGCAGGGGCCCAAGCACTCGAGCCAGCAGCACGGCCCCTGGGTCTGCATTAGCAGGAAGCTGGAGTGAGGAGGCAGAGCTGGGAGCGGACCCCTGCCACCCAGCGAGTACGTGGGATGAAGGACTCCCTGCTCCTGCCCCTGGGCGGGGGCGGGAGAAGATGCTGGAGGAAGGGGCGGCTCCGGGCGGAGACCCACCCAGGGCTCTCTGCCAGCGCCCCGCCCCTGCGCTAGCCACTGGTCCCGCCGGGCAGCCCCAGCAGCCACGAACATCCAGGTGGTCTGGGGGTGCCCAAGTGGCAACCTCGGGGTGCCTGCCATGGTGGGTAGTGGCTTTGCCGCAAGACGGGGGTGCAGACACCCCGGCCCTGGGCTCTGCAGCTGCAGCCGCAGCGGGGACTGGGGTGACCGTGGCCCAGAGCCAGGCACGAGGAGCCCAGCCTGCTCCAGTGAGCGCTGGAGCCAGCTCTGCTCCCTTTGGTCAAGGTCACGGGCTCAGAGGCCCAGGTGTGCACGGTGTCCTGGGATCGATTTTCAAAGGACTCTGTGCTCCTCCCCCCGCCCCCGCCCTGCTCCCCGCCCTGTGTTTACAGACTTCCGGCCCTGGCCTGCCGGTCTGGGCTCTCCTCCGATTCCTCTACCTGGCTGCAGTGCTGGGCCCAGTGAGGCAGCCGGAGTCCTATCGGGGTGTGGGACGGAGAGCATGAGCCCAGCCCCACCCCACCCTGCACCAACACGACCTCCCTCCCCCAGCCTCCCATTCCTCCCTCTGCCCTGTGACCTTCCCCTGCCGGGGGTCAGCTGGGCCCTGTCTGCACCACACAGCCCCGACAGGAGTGGGGGCAGGGCTGGGTGTGCTGTGGCCCACAGGGGACAGTCCTTGTGTGCCCAGCGCCCAGGGCGTGGGGTGCACGTGCCATGGCACCCCCAGTGCCATTGTGCTGTGGCCCAGGCTGGAGGCTGCACTCATCCCCCACCCCTTCCTGCCCCCACCAGGCTGCCCGGGCCGCCTGTCGCTGGCCTTGTTGGTTGTCACCCCTCCCAGGAGTCCCCAGCCCCAGGGCCTCCCCTGACTCTCAAGCCACTGCTGTCCCTGTCTGGGAGGACGCTGCAGCCCTGAGGGTCCCTCCTCCAGCCCTCCCCCCACCCTGTTCTCCCGGGACCCTGCGTGGTTCCTCAGGCACAGCCCAGACCCCTGTGCCACCCCCAGACTCCACGGGTCACCTGCTCACCCTCTGCCCCGCGCAGGCCACTGCTGAAGACGGAGGAGCGGGGCTGGCAGGGACACGCTGGACGGAAACGCACATGAGGCAGTCCCCAGTGCCCGCAGGGACGCGAGGGTCCCTGGGTAGCACCTGCGGCAGGAGGCAGAGGTGGGGGGCAGGAGGGGAGGGGCGGGGAGCTTGGGCAGACGCAGGGGCCGCTGTGTGTGGGGCCACAGGAGGCGCAAGGCGTGTGGGTACCGGGGGCGCCCGTGCCAGGCAGAGGGCATTCGGGAACCCCAAGAGGCCACCGCTGGTCACATGGGGCCTCCAGGCTCCCGCCAGGCCTTGGCTTTCATTTGGCCTGCGCTGATAAAGCCCAGGAGTGCTGCATGCGGGGAGCAGCCAAGAGCGGCCAGGTCTGACCTTCAGCCGGCAAAGCTGGGAGCAGTGGGGTTGGGGGTGGGGAGGGGCCACAAGGCTGGGGGACACAGGGACACTGCAGGGGAGAGAGTGGACAGTGCCTGAGCCACCACAGCGCGTGAGGGGGTGGCAAATGCAGGAGGATGGAGGGGTGGGCGGGGGTGGGCGGGGGTGGAAGCAGGACGGGCAGGGGCGGGGGTGGAGGCAGGACGGGGGGCAGGGGCAGGGGTGGAGGCAGGACGGGGGCAGGGGTGAGGGGTGAGAGTGGAGGCAGGACGGGCAGGGGCAGGGTGGAAGCAGGATGGGCAGGGGCGGGGGTGAAGGCAGGACGGGGGGGCAGGGGCGGGGGTGGAGGCAGGATGGGCAGGGGTGAGGGTGGAGGCAGGACGGGCAGGGGTGAGGGTGGAGGCAGGATGGGGGCAGGGGTGGGCGGGTGGAGGCAGGACGGGGGGGGGGGGCAAGGGCGGGGGTGGAGGCAGGAGGGGCAGGGGCGGGGGTGGAGGCAGGACAGGCAGGGGCGGGGGTGGAGTCAGGACGGGCAGGGGCGGGGGTAGAGGCAGGATGGGCAGGGGTGAGGGTGGAGGCAGGACGGGCAGGGGCGGGGGTGGAGGCAGGACGGGCAGGGGTGGGGACCGGGTCTGATGAGGCGCCAGCAGGTGAGGAGGAGGCTGGGAAGGAGGAGGAGGAGCCTGAGGAGGGCCCGGCTCCGGGGCAGGGACTGAGTCTCAGATAAACTCTCAACCCCGAGTGTCTGCCTTGACTGCTCACCTCTGTGTGGCAAACACCACAACCTGCCCGCCTGGAAGGGAAACTGAGGCAGGGGGCGGTGCCCAAGGCAGCAGGCAGCGTCCTGCGCGGCCCCAGGCAAACAGCCGGGAGCAGGGGTGCTGAGCCTGCGGCCCTTCCTCCCTGGACTCCACGCGGAGTCCTTCCAGGCCTGCGGGAGCCCAGCTGGGTGCTGGCGAAACCAAGATCCCAGGGAAGGACTCTGATTGGCTCGGCTCAGTCGGTGCCCGCCCCGACCAATCAGAGTGACATCACACAAGATGCCTCAGAGGGAACCACAGCTCCGTGGGGCAGGGGGAGCCTCTAGGGGAGGCCGAGTCACAGGGGAGGGCACGGTGCCTGAGGGACTCTGCGTCTCTGAATCCGGGTGGAGCACTCAGCCTGCACCCGGGTTTGGGGCCGGTGCTCAGAGTCTGCGTGAGGACACAGCTTGTCTGCGGCAAGGCCGGGATCCAGGCCCTGGGGTCTTCTGGGGCCGACGCCTGGGGTCGCCGCTGCACCAATGCCGGGTCTGCAGCCCATCCCTGAGGCGGGCTCGTGTCGCTTGGCTGGATTGTGAGGCCCTATGAGCAGAAACCACACTGAATCCTCTCCCAGCCCCTCAGCGCAGGGGTCCCCAAGTCGGGCCTGGGCCACCTCCGGTTGTCTGCCAGGGGGTCCTCCAGGGGCAGCACTGTGGCAGCAGCAAGTTAGGCCGCCACCTGCGATACCCACATCAAGCAGGGAAGTGCCAGCGAGCCAGCCCCGCCTCCACCTCCCACCCAGCCCCTGCCAGTGTGCCTGGAGGGGGGGCTGCAGAAGATGGCCCAAGCGCCTGGGTCCCTGTCCCCGTGTGGGAGACCCGGATGGAGTCCCTGGCTCCTGGCTTCAGTCTGGCCCAGCACTGGCTGTTGCAGGCATTGAGATGGAAGACCTCTCTCTGTCTCTCTAAAAATGTTTTAAAAGAAAACGGAGGTCCCCCAGGGAGTTGTACAGAGCCGGGGGTGGGGGGCAACAAACCCTTTTGTTACCCAAATTTCACACGCGTGTGATGGTTGAGTCACGGAAGCGCCCCGAGTTCTTCATGCCAGGACTGTCCGCCGCGGCGGCCGATGCATTTTCCTATCATTTGCACGCTGGGGTTCAGGCGCGCTGCATTTGCATTCCCCTTGTTATTCTGGTATCGCGTTCTGTCTGTTCCGGCTGGAACACAGGGCCCAGAGTGACTCCTGCAGGTGTGAGTGAGGCCTGGAAGCCCTGGCGTGAGAGCCATGCAAATACCCCGCGGGCCGGGGCTGGCCGGCAAATCCGCAGGGGCTTGCTGCTTCCCGGGCGCCGAGGCGGCCACGCTGGCTTGACGGGGTCCCAGCTCCTGCCCCGAGGCTGAGCCTCGGCCTCTCCAGCTAAGTCCAGAGGGAATTTCCCAGAACAAGC